TGTTTTTAGTTGTTTAAATGTGGAAGAGAGATTGGTGGAGGCTTTAATTTTTGCCAATTGTTGTGGGTTTCCCCCCCCACAGGTCCCTTGTGCCCCCCTCGTGTATATATATATATATATATATATATATATATATATATATATATATATATATATATATATATATATATATATATACATATATACATATATACATATATATATATAAAACCTCAGTGTCCATATGTATTTTTTCAACTTTGTGTTTTCAAACAGTGTCTGCTAGATGATTAAAATAAAACACTGGATCATGAACTCAGAGCTGAGCTTTAGTTTGGAACAACTCTTTATTATATTTCTACCAGTGAGGTCAAGGCCTCCATCCCCTCGTCTCCTCTAATGATTCAGCTCCTTCACACCAGGTTTTCTGTGAATGGGATTTAACCTTTTGGACTCTGTTGTTCTGGAGATGACGCATTCCTCAAATGCACCAGGGAATGTGTCACATAGATGTGAACATATGTTTCTATATTTGATTTTCCACCTCAAAGTCACCCTGTCTTGTCTATTGTCTGTAGCCCTTAAGAACCCAAACCGCTTTAAAAAGAAAATAGATAGGAATAAATTTGTCATAATCAAATAAATCAAATAAAGAAGTAAAATGGGCGCTACCAACACTGGGGAGGGTGTGCTGCTGACCTCTACTCAGGACGTTGTGGATCGGTGGGCAGAGTACTTTGAAGACCTCCTCAATCCCACCGACACGTCTTCCAGTGAGGAAGCAGAGTCTGGGGACTTTGGGTTGGCCTCTCAAATCTCTGGTGCTGAGGTCACGGAGGTGGTTAAAAAGCTCCTCTGTGGCAAGGCTCCAGGGGTGGATGAGATCCGCCCGGAGTTCCTTAAGGCTCTGGATGTTGTGGGGCTATGTTAGCTGACGCGGCTCTGCAATATCGCGTGGACATCGGGGACAGACCCACTGGACTGGCAGACCGGGGTGGTGGTCCCCTTATTTAAAAAGGGGGACCGCAGGGTGTGTTCCAACAACAAGGGGATCACACTCCTGAGCCTTCCTGGTAAGGTCTATTCAGGGGTTCTGGAGAGGAGGGTCCGTCAGATTGTTGAAACTCAGATTCAGGTGGAGCAATGTGGTTTTCGTCCTGGCCATGGAACACTGGACCAGCTCTATACCCTTAGGGGGATCCTGAAGGGTGCATGGGAATTTGCCCAACCAGTCTACATGTGTTTCGTGGATTTGGAGAAGGCGTTTGACCGCGTCCCTCAGGGGGCCCTGAGGGGGGTACTCCGGGACTATGGGGTACCAGGCCCTCTGATATGGGCTGTTAGGTCCGTGTATGACCAGTGTCAGAGCTTGGTCCGCATTGCCGGCCGTAAGTCGGGCTCGTTCCCAGTGAGCGTTGGACTCCGCCAAGGCTGCCCTTTGTCACCGATTCTGTTCATAACCTTTATGGACAGGATTTCTAGGTGCAACCAAGGTGTGGAAGGCATCCATTTTTGTGGCCTGAGGATCAGGTCTCTGCTTTTTGCAGATGATGTTGTCCTGTTGGCTTCATCAGAACGTGATCTTCAGCTTTCGCTGGAGTGGTTCGCAGCCGAGTGTGAAGCAGCTGGGATGAGAATCAGCTCCTCTAAATCTGAGACCATGGTCTTGATCCGGAAAAGGGTAGAATGCCTTCTCCGGGTCAGGGATGAGGTCCTACCCCAAGTGGAGGAGTTTAAGTATCTCGGGGTCTTGTTCACGAGTGAAGGAAAACTGGAGCAAGAGATCGATAGGCAGATTGGTGCTGCATCTGCAGTGATGCGGGCGTTGTACTGGTCTGTCGTGGTGAAGAGAGAGCTGAGTCAGAAGGCGAAGCTCTCGATTTACCGGTCGATCTACGTTCCTACCCTCACCTATGGTCATGAGCTTTGGGTAGTGACCGAAAGAACAAGATCGCGGATACAAGCGGCCGAAATGAGTTCACTCCAAAGAGTGGCTGGGCTCTCCCTTAGAGATAGGGTGAGAAGCTCGGTCATTTGGAAGGGGCTCGGAGTAGACCCGCTGCTCCTCCACATCGAGAGGAGCCAGTTGAGGTGGCTCAGGCTTCTGGTCAAGATGCCTCCTGTACGCCTCCTTGGTGAGGTTTTCTGGGCACGTCCAACCGGGAGGAGGCCTAAAGGTAAACCCAGGACATGGTAGAGGGACTATGTCTCTCACCTGGCCAAGGAACACCTTGGGATTCCCATGGAGGAGCTGGCCCAAGTGGCTGGGGAGAAGGAAGTCTGGGCCTCTCGCCCTAGGCTACAGCCCCCGCGACCCGACTCCGGATAAGCAGATGAAAATGGATGGATGGATGGGCAGAATTTTTGAATTGAAATGAATCAGTTGAAGTGGTTCAAGCATAGGATTAGGATGTGCCCTGGTCACCTTCCCTTACAGGTTGTCAAGGGGACCCTGGGGCCAGGCTCAGAATGGCTCAGCATCTGGATAAGTGGAATGAAGTGGATGGATGGATGGATGGATGGATTGATGAATGGATGGGTGAATGGATGGATGAATGGGTGAATGGATGGATGGACGGACAGTTGAATGGATGGATGGATGGTTGAACGGACTATCAGCACAAATTAAAGCAGCTTAGATTCAGTAAAACAAAGTTGTTTGTGTTAAAAGATACACTGAGAGAAGCTGTGGGAGCATCTTGTTCGAGTAAAATGACTAATTTGGAGATTAGTCGTTTTCTTTAATAATCACATTCTCAGACTTAGTCATAATTACGTCTCCATTTATTTTGCAGCTGATGACATTCTTGAAAACATATTGAGGCAAAGAAAAGCTGCAAGGTCTTATCAGTGTTTAACAGGTGGAAAAACACCTGATCTATCTGTATCTGTAGTAAAATACTAGTAAAAAATAAATTTATTTTTTATTTTTTTCAGGTCAAACTATTGACACAAACAGTTATGAAGAGATGCTAAAACAACTGATCTCCTGGGAGCAGAGCTGATAGCTTCTCCATCCTACAGAAGACACACGGACCTGTGGAGAGTTGTTTTGCTGCTTTAACTCTTATTTTAGGTTATCGTGTGCCTTTTTTTCTTGTAACAAATGTAGGTTTACTTTTAATTTTTTAGTTGGCTCATACCCTGACATTAGTTTTTATTTCATTTGGAAGAAAAAAAAGGGACTTAATACCTTTCTAAGTCCTAAAATCTTTGAGAATAACACATAAACGAATCATTATAAAGTCACTCATTCCATAAACTCATTGCGAAATCTTAAACCCCCAGTGAGTCGGATGGCTGCTCAAAATGAGCCTGGTTCTGTTGGAGGTTTCATCCTGTTAAAGGGGACTTTTCCTCTCCACTGTCGCTACACGCTTGCTTAGTATGAGGATTGCTGTAAAGCCTCTGACACAAGTCAGTGACTCGATGCAACCTGCTGGGTTTCCTTTTAATTGGAACAATGAAATGCACTCAGTACCCTATAAGAATATTCAACTGGACTGTATGTTCTGTGAAGTGCCTTGAGGCGACTCTTGTGATTTGGCACTAAATAGATTAACTGAATTGAATTGATTTTCTTTGCCATGCAAAACTGGGCTTGCATCAGTCAGGATCTGGCCCTGAAACTGATTGACAGCATGCCTGGGTGAATTGCTAAATATGTTTTGTTTAAATTTAATATAATTGTTAATAGAAGTCTTTGAAATGTATGAAAAGCATGTAATCTTATTTGAGTAAACCATAGACACGTCTGATAACAATATCTAAACTCTGAGGCAAACTTTGTTTAAACCAGTACACTTAGTGTACCACAATAAAAACTGATTGTCTTTCATGAACTTAAACCCGTGTTCACATCCTTATGACATTTACTTTTGACCAACATTTATTTTAAAACTCAAAAATCAGCTAGAGTATCAGTGACCTACTTGATCTCTCTGCTGAATTAGCCCACTTTACCCTGCAGGCTTCATCCCACATAGATGACCCCTCTTTTACTTACAGCCGAGGCTTGCAGCACCTCCCTCCCACGCTGCGCTAAGCCTACGCTAAGTTTTCACCTCTGGACCTCTTACACTGGTGTGTACAGGAGGACTTGATGGGAGGAGCATGTGATACACAGGTGTACGAGTCCACATGGAGATCCCAGACTGAACAAGCACGCAGCCACTGAAACAGAACGATTGCACAGGAAAAGGTCTGAAATCACCATACCAACCACAGCAAGCTAAAATTAACATGCAACAAAACCCACTCACTGTTGCCTGCTTTAACAAAGGTGATAAATTAACACGTTCAAAAAACAAGTATGACGTGCAAAATACAATTTATGTTTCAAATAAATACATGAAAATTTAGAGATGTGTGTTTTATTATACAAATATCAGAGCTAATATGATACCAACGGGAGTTCTAGTCATTTTCAAGGATAGTTTTAAAAACGAAACCAATAATTTATTACACACACACACACACACACACATGCATGCATACACTAACACACGCACACACACACACATGAACACGCATATATACACAAACGCACACGCGCCGTTGAAAAAGTGGCCGGTGACAGCGGCTAAGCCAAGCACAGGTGCCATCTTGTTACCGACCGGAAGTGTAAAATAGAAAGCACAAGCTTGCATGCATACACATGCACACATGCATTCACACATACACAAACACATCCATGCGCACACTCAAGCATGCACGCACACACACACACTCACGTATGCACACACACATGCACGTTTACATGAACACACACATGCACACAAACACATACACACACATAAAACCACACATATGCACAGACGCATACAAGTATACACAAACATACACACGTGCACACAGAAACATACACACGTTTGCGCACACACACACAAAAACCAAACTCAGGTCTCGATTTTTCATTTTTACTAACGTAATTGATTTGTTCCTTTAAACAGCCACACAAAAACAACACAAATGTCAAAAATGTTAAAGATAGCATATTCTTGGTGTCAGAAATTATTTATTTTTTTACATTTAAAAACTTGATCATCTCAGGTGAAAATCACATGCCCCTAGAGTGAGGCTATCAATAGCACACACATATTTCATGAATCAATCATTGATTACCTGATTGATGTAATGGTTACTATTTGGATTTTTTTTTTTTTTTTTTGCTGTAAATATTTTCCAAAAACGAGCTGACCAGAAACATCACATCACTGATCCCATAAAAGGGTGTGAATGTTTTCTCTCATTTGCAAAAGCGTCTTTGATTGTAGATTTCACATAAAACTAATTACAATCTAGTATTTACAAAATGTTCTCTACGAAATCAGCACATGCCTTTAGCATGCAAAAAAAAAATAAAAACACTTAACACCTCATCTGCTCTGCAAATATCCGGTTTTTCGTCGTCACACATCAACATGTTGATCGAGCTCCACAGTTCAGCATATTTGACACTATTTAGGTTTCGTTTTTATTTCAATATCAGAGATCAAAGGATTTATATGTTTACACTTAATCTACAGTAAATCGCTGTAGGTTAGCTTACAAAAATAAAACGAATGGTGGAGGAAGACCAATCAGCTACTCTGCAATACCAAACAAGATGTTACACCATATTTTTATAAAACTAGGAAGAAATAAAGGTTGCATGTTATCAACAATTGTTGCGAAATCTCATTTAAACACAACATTTGACTTCCTAATGACTACACGAGCTAAAATCACACTCTACACATGATACTTCTCCTTCCCTGTAAAGTTTTGCGTGAAGCAGTCGCTAAGCTCTCAGGTTTCCTCTCCTTCAGAATTAAACACTGAGCTATTTCAAAAAAACTAAAAGCAGGATTAATATTCAACACATTCAAGAATATGTATGTGAAATGAATGAATGTTGTTTTGAAATGCTGCTTTCGATCTTTTGAGTGGGAGGCAGATTATGTCTCCTGGTCTGGATAAACACATTCTTTGGGACAGTTACATAAGGACATCTCTGAATGTAAATAGACCTCAGCCTTTGACAGAGAACAGGTCGTGTGTCCCCCGCTTGTTTGTTGAATGATTCTCTTCGGCTGCGGAAGCAGCGTGCACCACGGTGACGGCAGCGTCCTGCTGTAAATATCGCCTGAGGTGAAGGTAGCTGTGCTGGTGTTTGTATTGAAACATCTCCCAGAGGTAAAAATGCATTTTGTTCTTTTCTTACACTGGCTTCTCACATCAGTGGGTTTCATTATAGCGCACACCTGTGGCTCTTTTCTGGTTTTTAATTATCCTAAGTCTCACAGGGCCTCTGCCAGGCGGCGGTCAGCACCTTCTCTAGCTTCCAGCCGCAGCTGTCGGCTGGTTTTTCTGTTCTCCACCCAGGAGTTGTGTATCACCGTGCCACCTGGTGAAGGATCTACCTGGAGCAGGGACACCACTCTTTTTTTAACTTTTGCACGAAGGGCACGGCGTAATTTCTGACGCGTAAACGCATACAGCAAGGGGTGTGAAACAGTGGTGCCGTACGCCAGGGCTAAGAACCAGAGGCGCAAGCTGACCAGGACGTCGCTGGGACCAATGCCCAGGATTAGCATGTTGGTCACAGAGAGGGGAGCCCAGCATCCCAGAAAGGTTGTGATGATGATGAGGGACATCTTGAAAACCCGCCTCTGGCGCTCCCGTCGATCACGGTGGCGTCGAACAGCCCGGCGCAGAGCTATAATTGCCGACACGGAGGCCTGGACGCCCACGGTGGCCGGCAGGGGAGCAGCAGCCCCCATGTCAGAGGTGACAAGTGGAGCGGCAGAGGACAAGGCAGGGGGTGAGGTAGCTGTTGGAGTGGGAGTTGGGGATGGGATGAGGGGAGGATGGCTGAGCTGTTTCGTTCCATCTCCAGCGCACGATTCTCCTGCCTCCTCCCCATCATTCATCCTAAACCCCGTCTTCCTCTTCTTCTGTTTCTTGTGTCGGCCCCTGAGCCTCTGACTCTTCCTCATGTGGGAGCCAATACGGATGTTTAAAGCCCTCAGTATTCTGGAGTAGGTAAACAACATGACTGCCACAGTGGTGAAGAAGATGGGCACCTGCAGGATGAGATGGTAATACATTCCCAGGCCTGTGCGATAGCCCTGACCGCCAACACAAAGGAGAGTCCTGTTAGGCCACGCTGGGACTGTCGTGCTGCTAAAACCATACGAGGATGAAGATGCCGAGGCATCCTGCCTCTTTTTCTCCGTTTCCTCAGAACCAGACCACTGCACCTCTAAGAAGGGCATGAAAAACACAGCGACCGAAGTGATCCAGACACCAGCTAGGAGCAGCGCTGCCCTGCGTGTCGTCAGCAGCCTGTTAGCCGGTCGTACTGAGATGTCGTATCGATCCAAGCTGATCACCAGGATGTTGATGGCCGTGGCGATGCTCGCAAATGTAACACACGCCTCGTGGAAGCAGCAAAGCAAGGCCAGGTTTGGTCCTGGCGGCAAAAGAACAACCACCAGGGTGAGGGGCACACAAAGCACACACACCGCCACATCCAGCACGTGCAGGTTCACCGTCACCATGTTGCTCACTGAGTCCACCAGATTGGACTGGGAACAGTAGAGCACCAGCACAGTCAGGTTGCTGCTGAAACCCAACACCAGCTCTAGCATGAGGAAGGCGGTGAGCGACACCTGGAAGCTCAGAGAGTATGGCATGTACCAGGAGACCGGACCAACGGACGGGGCACCTCCACCTTCTCCTCCTCCGTGCTCCTGATAGACCTCCATGCCATCCAGGCCAGCTGGACCAGTGCCTACCCAGTCAGTGGTGGTTGGGCTAGAGGTGCTCATCTCCATGATGTCCCTTCAGTATATTGTGTCTGTCACACCACTGATTAGTTCCCATGATGCACCAGTCTGGGCCTCCATGATGCAGCAGTGAAACACAGCTTCCTGGCAGAGCTGGAGAGAAGGGAATAAAATGCAGATGGATGAGAGAAATGCACAGTGGAAGATGGAATCAAAACACATTTTTCTCGTTCATGATGTGTCAGGGATCCAAACAAAACTTTAAATTCAAAAGTTATAACACAGAGACAACAACGCATGCACGTCTGCTGAAAAATCTCATACATATGCATAAATAGTCGGTAGGCAGAATGAGTGCTGAATTATGCATCAATCCATCCCTCAGTGAGCTGTCGATCAGTATCAACAATAACTACTTGTTTTATGCACAGTCTGTGATGAGCTGATGATCTGCTACAATACACAGAACTGAAGCTCAGAGGAATGGCTTCACTGAAAGAAGGCCAAGTAATAAAACTCACAGGCAATCAGTAGGTCTCTGTAACGTCCAGGAATGGTCAGTTTTAACCTACAGATTGACCTACAAGCCACCGGTCATCTACAGACATAAATTCCATTCTCTAAGGTGGATTTTCATTCTCTAAGGTGGATTTTACATTTTACCTTCCAACAAGCCCAGAAGGTTCTGCAGCTCTGAACACATGATAACGTATTGTCATCATGTTCCCTTCTCAAGGTTCTTCTCTGCCAAGCCTGTCTGCTTATCGAGGCTGTCCTGCACAGAATAAAGGACTGAACCGTAGTAATAGTGAATGATCATATGGTCGAATGAACAATAATGGTTGATGAATAATAATAATGTTTTGATTAATCTGTGCTTAAATTAATAAGGTTGATCAATCTGTGCTTGAAATACTGAAGTTGAAATGAATATTACTATGATGATCAGTAATATTTGGTTTAACAAGTGAATCATTATCTACACTCAGACACAAAGTTCATTAGAGATAAATTAAAGTTAAAGTAACGTCACTGCACATAGATATTTTCTTAGCCACAAATCAGAGAACCCTGTATCCGAAAGAAGGCATGATGTTCTGAGGGTTTGTTGTTAACACCCCTTCACATGGCACGTTCCGATTGGCCAAGTAAATCATAATATGAGAATTTTAAAACAGAGTCAGTTGCAGAGTGATTTATTATTTCAGCATTCTGTGAGATTCAGCATCCTGTTAAGGCTGGTTTATGCTTGACGCGTCCGCGAGGTCCGCACGGCTCCGCGCGGAAAAGTTGCGTCATTTTGCATCATTTTAACAACCACGCCCCTCCACCGCATCTCCGCACGGCCCAAGATTTCCGCAACGCGCACCTCGGAAAATTTCTAACCACGCGGACGGTCGGACGCGGAAAAACATGGCGGACCGGCAAGAACTAGTATGGCAGAGGTTCGTAAATACAGACATTTGTATGATCCAGCTCTCAGAGATCACCGGGATCAACATGTTGTTAATAATTCTTGGAGAGAAATAGCTCGCACTGTCGGAAAAGACGAGGACGCTGTTTAAAATGCTGAAATGCCATGTTGTAAACAGTCATTTCTACTTCTACTACGGTGTAGTGTTGGATGCATGCTGTAGAGCTCCATGCTGCCCCCTACAGTTTGGGAGAATATTGGCTCACCGCAGAGACAAGCCGCACAAACCATAAACGCTGCGAGTTGTGAAGCGCGTTCCATCCGCGAGCCGCATCACCGCGCGGAAAGTGAATGCGTCAAGCATAAACCAAGCTTTAGTTGAGCTAACTCTGACTGGCCATTGGAGGAAAAATCTCTAGCCACCGTATCTCTTGACAAGCTTTTGACAAGCTAAAAGCTCTACAGCTGACAGCAAAACGGTTCCCCCAGCCATTCAGAAACAGCTGCTCTAGATGCAAATGATTTCATCTATCTGTTGTGATCCGGGAGATGACTCTGGACCGACCTGGCCGTACTGCGGTCTTCTCTACGAACTTCGGTACCTTGGGGTCACCTGACCCCCCGACATCTCCCATCCGAAAGGGAGTCTCCTCAGGGGTACGTAGAACATAACATGACTGTGTCTGATGCTGTTTTGATAAGAACCAACTTCATAGATTAATGCAAACCAAATTCTTTGTCACGCCCAGAACTCAGTTCTTCTAGATACGAGGTTCTGATAAACCATACATCACATCCCATCACCTTGTATTTATCCATCACAGTAGTCTTGGTTAACTTGTCATGTTTTTATTTGTTTAGAAAATAAATGTCTTATCTTTTATAAACCTGACTCTGTCTGAATTGAGACCAAGTGTGTTTGATCCTTGAAAAGGCAAAGAATCCTAGAATCTTCTGATTAAACATCCAAAGACCAAGCAGGTTGACATTCTATATTTATATAGAATATCACAGCATATTGGTCATAAGGAAAGGTAATAATTTGAGCTTAAAAGCAACAATATTCACCCCTCTACATCTCAGAGTAGGAAACAACATTTAACAGGATACACAAATCTGACATGATCTCTGCTAGCTGCAGTTTCACACCTGGTTGATTCTATCCGCCAATCGGAGGCTCCCCCTAACGGCAGGTGTGAATTTGAGCCGGCCAATCAGTTGGCAGTGGGTGTGTTGGGCCAGTTCAGCCCAAAGCAAACCGCCTTATATGAGGGCTGAAAAACCAATAAGTTGTGCTCAAACAAAACAAGGCTACCTTTGAGGACACTTTAAAAGATACCCAGTCTGGTCCGTGCTGGCCCAGATGTGAAACCACCAATACTTTGGGTGCCAGAGGAGCAACACCTAAGTACTTGAAAATCAGCATCACATGTGATACTAAGGCTGAAACAGTTACCAGTTTAATGGTTAGTGTTTACTATTTTAAAATCTACAGAAAGTATTTTTTATTGTCTGACAAACGCAGAATTTTTAAGCCTCCAGAAACCATATCCGTAGTGTGATTGCATTTTAAAAGGTGCAAAGGGAAAGCTTTTTAAAGTACACGTTTTCTTCCCAGAAACCATTTTTATTTGTTTTATTTTGAAAAACAAAAGACAAAAGAAACTTTTTTTAAACTCCTTTCAGGTAACAGTCATGGAGCTATTTTGGACATATCAGGAGAAACAGTCAAACAGAAGGAGTTTAATTATATTACATCTATCTATTTTTTTCTCTCTTTTGGGGGTTTCTAGCTGGAGGGAGCAGGGGTCTCTTTTATCAAACATTGCGTTGAATCCTTACTAAAACTGTACTTAAGCTCAGCAAAAAATATGTACTTATGTCAAGTAGGTTTGTGATCTATCAAACATGGAGTACGCGCAGCTGCACGCAATCTCCGCTTCATAAATCAGAAACTATCTAGAAAGGTTCTCAGCTGCATTTTAGTCACATCCCGCCCTCACCACACCCACTTACTGCCATAAATAGTCAATGCAAAGTACCTTGTGGATCTCATGCATATACATAAGTTGGCTGTTGCAGCGCTTCGCCAATGACGATGGCGACCGTAGATCAAGGAAGCGCAATTTCACAGAAGCAGAAATTGAGGTGCTTGTGGGTGAGGTGGAAAAATGAAAGGAAGTGCTTTTGCAAAACAAATAAGAGAAAATCCACGGAGTGGCACAGCGTTGCTGAAGCCGTCAATGTTGTGAATTCTCCAGAGAGATCTGTGGCAGATATAAAGAAGTGGTCCGATCGGGATTCGATCCCCAGACTCCCAGGTGAAAGTCGCGCTCGCTAACCAGTCACCCAAATGGAGATCTCCCTTGTCCAGGTAGCCAGGGAGCATGATCAATCAGGTCACAGTGACAGGACACACACACTGTCACAGACGTATGACATTCTGTCTCAATCTGTCCCCCTGCTGATATTCTGCATTCCATATTCTGCGCTTAAGGCTCTGTGTGTGTGTGTTTGTGTGTGTGTGTGTGCGCGCGCGTGTGAGTGTGCGTGCGTGCGCATGTGTGTAGGCGCATGTGTGTGTGCATGTGGGGGGTCTTGCTCTGTGTGAAAGTGTGCTGCAGAATTTCATAATTTTATCCTTCTCAGCAGCAGCACTGCAGGTGCTCTCCATGTCCAAAATGTGCGTAAGCCAGGTCCTTAGTCAGCTTAAAGTTGTGCACATTTTTCCACGTAAGTTTGCGTGGAAAGTTTCTTACGCAGTTTTCCGACCCCGTTTTGTGCGTAAGCAAGCTTGATAATTCAATTCAATTCAAGGATACTTTATTAATCCCAGAGGGAAATTAGAGTGAGGCCCCTGGTTGTTTCACTACAAGGTTTGCAAATGCAGCATCTCTCCATTAGTTCTAGGATTTCTAACAATGGCTAAATATACCATTATAGGTCCCCACATGAAAGATATTTGTTAACTCTTTGACGTCGGTGAACGTTTGATTTTAACAGGGAAGTCCACCAGAACAGCATAAAGCTTTTATTCTGTTCTGTTCCAGGTTTGCTTCTATTGAAAGGAAACTGATCAGCATTTAAAGTCACCAGGCTGCAAAAGGCTTGAAGGGACATGCTGTCCGGCTTTTACCCTTTTTCACTTTAGCGTTGGAATCAAAACAGTCAAGGCTGGTTTGAGCTGCTGTTAATCAAGGCTGCAGCACAGATCATCACTGAGGATTTATGCGTGAAGTCTCTAAAGCTGACTAATTTAGTAAGAACACAAACAATAGCTCGACCGTACAGGAAACAGAATAAAAGTCAGAGTTTAAAATATTCATCACTGATTAGAGGAGCGCTACTGACGTAGTCTGTAGGAACTTCTGATTTAAACAAGTCAATTACATTTATTGGCCTTTGGCTGGAGAATAATAACAAATTGCAAGAAATCAGTTCACAAATGTAAATCTTTGCACATCTAGAAAATGATGGGAGTGTATTTTTTCTCCTTCCTGTTGCTGCAGAAACAGCTCTGCATGAGACCTGATTACTGAAGCCAAATCTGACAGTGACTGTGAAAGAGTAGTGAACAAAAAATTCATAAAATAGGGGGGGGGAACGTGTTATATTCAAAACTAAACAAACATGTGGTGGCATGGTGTGATGGATCTGCTGAGTGGTGACTTAGAACACTGAGAACCTAGAATGGAAAGAAATAAATGATTTTTTTTTGGGGGGGGGGGGGGGGGGGTTC